CGGGCCGCGGAGACCCAGCACCTCGCGCCCCCTCCCCGCCCCACTCGAGGATTCGGCACAGGCTTGACGTTTCCAAATTCCGTCACGTCCCGCCAGGCCCGGCGTTCTTTTCGCCAGGAAGGGTTCTGGGAGTGACTAAGTCTGCACGACTACCTGGACAAACAGCAAAGTTGCAAGAAATACATTCCTTTAACCCTTGGTTTCCCGGTGGGCTGCGCCCGCACCCCCAGCTCCCACTCCACTGGGCAAGTGCAACTTTTACCCTCGTCTCAGAACGACGCAGCTTCAGATAAGCTTTGAGATAAGAATTGTTAAGTTAGGAACTTGGGCCCTGTGATGGGAAGTTCAGAGAGAAGGGTTTACGGTATTTTTTTTTTTTCCCTCTCTCACCTGTATCACAGTTTGGAAATGGAAAACGTGAGTTGAAGGTGATCTTTCCACATGCGGTGGATTGCTGCCCCTCAACCCTCTTGTGCCCCAGCTCGCCTGACATAGTTGATATTACCCCTTGAGTTGATTTTAATGCTTGCTGTAGTGGTCAGGTAAAGGAGCTGCTGGGGAAAAAAAAAAGCAGTATAACTCAATAGAACCATTTTATTGGGTTCTATTAACCTGTTTAACCTTAAGCTTTAACTATGACAGGAGTTTCATTTCATGTTGGAACCCACATACCTAGTGCGATATTGAATTTTAATTAGTGCATTCCAGGTCTTGATGTGGAATAGAGTCTTCTCAGCTTCAACGGAGAAGAATTATACACCGTTGTCCTTAGGGCCTTGTTCTGTATTTAATGAAACAGTTTAATATTAGGGTTGGAGGAACACATTTTGAATCAGGATACTTGGACAAACTTGCAGACTGTTAGTAGGTAATGCCTGAAGCTAATACTACACTTTATAGCACCATGTCGTCTTCACTCTTGTTCTGAAATCATGTTGACATTTTTACCTTATACATCACAGAATAACAGGATTTTCCGTTTGCAGTGTAATCCAGCTTCATTATTTTACATTTTCATGAGATTTAGAAGGAACTGCATAGAACTGCTTGCCTTTATTAAGCATTGAAACCTCCTGATGGGACACTGTTGTACCCAACTTGATCTTGTTTTGGCCAAACCATCCCCCCTGCCCCCAACCCCACCTCAGCCTGTTGAGCAAAGTAAAGTGCTCTCCTGAGCTCTTGTCCCTTCCCTCTTGATTATGTTATCTTAAGAATTGCCAAGTGATCACTATAATTTTTTTTTTTTTTGGTTTTTCGAGACAGGGTTTCTCTGTGTAGCTTTGCGCCTTTCCTGGAACTCACTTGGTAGCCCAGGCTGGCCTCGAACTCACAGAGATCCGCCTGCCTCTGCCTCCCGAGTGCCGGGATTAAAGGCATGCGCCACCACCGCCCGGCACTATAAATTTTTTTAAAATCCCTTTCTACTCATATGAAATGATTTCTAATTTTGACACTTTAGATACAAATGATGCAAATTACTTGTAGTTAGCAAACTACTTATATCTGTTAGTTAAAACATTTTCTTCTAGTTTAGTTTAAAATTTGAATTTAATAATTATTTTTCAGTTTAAGAATTACTCAGATTCATCTTTTTTCTTGAGACAGGGTCCAATCTAGCCTAGGGTCTGGAATTCGCAGTGTGTTTGAGGCTGGCCTTGAACTCCTTATCTTCACACCTCATACTTTCTACTATGCTAGGATTCTATTAGTCATATTCATTAAAAAAGCATTTTTATTTTAATTTTTAGAAATTATATATGTGTTTGTGCATGTGAGTGCAGGTGTCTACAGAAGCCAGAGGGGTCAGATCTGGAGCTGGAGTTGTGTGGATGCTGGGAACTGAACTTGGGTTCTCTGTAAGAGCAATACATGTTCTTAACCCATGAGCCAGCTCTTTGGTCCCTGTCATTTATATTCTTGAATCAGGTAGTCTATGGCTCCCAGAAGATTAGTTTATCAAGAGTTTTAGGGTTATGGTATGTATGACTTTGATATTCAGTAGGAAGAGAGATCCTATGCATAAATAGTAATCTACATCACTGTCCCCAATATTACATTAAAAAAAAAAAAGTGAACTTGAAATGCAGAACCCTGAGGTCCTTGTTGGGGTAGGGTGGGATTTTTACATCTCTCACAGCACAGTGTTTGGTGTAGGCATAGTAAATACTTGTTGCTTCTGTGTTTTGTCTTGGTAGGTGCTTTTTGAAAGATGGCCACGTTTTTTTAATCTGTATGGCTGGTGTCAGTCCAGTGGATACTCTGTAAACGCTTTGTCTTGTTGGTAGATGAGTTCCTGGAAGTCCCAAATTATGATTCTAGTAAACTTGAAACTACTGATTTTCCTCTTTGTGTTGAACAAGTACTGAAAGAGAGAATACCAAGATATATAACACAAGAATTGGGGGAAGAAGTATTAATTTTGTTCTTTAATGTAAAAATTTCAGAGTACAGTTATATAAATGTGGTGATAGAATATACCTCCATCATATGAGATTAATGTGAAATTTCTACTGGAGCAAAGTTTGATAACCATGAATTGAGCAACCTTTAATTGTTATGATAGGCCATATTTTAAAGTGTTGGTTTCATTTTATAAGGATGCATTCTTCAGCCTGTAGATTGAATAAATAACATGATTTGGGAGTTTGGACTACTTTGTTAGGCTATCCTAGAATGATATTTTAAATGATCCAGTGTTCTTTATGTTGGTGGTAATTACTAAAACATAATGGATCTTCTCTTTCTTTTATGCTTATTCTTGGCTTTTTCTTTAGTAGATCACACTAGTGTTTGTGTATTCAAGCAAAACAAAATAAGAAACATGTCAAGATTTCTTTTGCTAAGTAAAGTAACTTTTTCCATTGAAACTAATAGAATTTGGGCCACCGAATGCATAGCCAGGCCAATTCCATAGAGTGATTACTATTTGAACATGTAAAGTTCTATATCATAACCTTTACAGAGATACTTTCTTTGAACTACATTCCTTTTTTTCCTACTGATAATATTATCAAAAGTGAATTTATAGTATATAAATTATATGAAACAGTCATCTTGCATCCATCTAGACGGGTTTTTCACTCAGCCCCAGTCTTCTTGGACTACCCACTTTTAGGTTAGTCCCTTTTACACAGATAATTAGGTAAATATACTCCTACCCCATTGTCCCAAAAAATTTCTTTTGATAGGAGCTAGAGTTGTATCCTGATCATCCGTTCTTCACAGAGGTATGGTATTATGCTATATATACCCTTGGCATGTACTCTGTGTGCATGTGAGAGTTTATTTTTAAACACATTTCTTATCATAGCTTTACAAATGTATGACATAAACATCTCAAAGTATGTAAGAAATGTACAGAATATTTCAAGTATAGTTACAGAGGGAATTAGGATATAAAATGAGATAAGAGTTAGTAAGAATATATAGGTCTTCCCTCCTCCTTGCGAGATTATATTTAAGCTATTTGAACAAATGATAAATTTTTTGAATACTTGTCAAAAAAGTCGTCGGGACTTCTTCCTTCCTTCCCTCCTTCCCTCCTTCCCTCCTTCCCTCCTTCCCTCCCTCCCTCCCTCCCTCCCTCCCT